AAACACTCTGAATCCCTAACATCCCGAAGCCCTCGAGCCCCCTACCGCAAGACCAGCGTAAAGGTCATAGGGGTGCCGTTTTCATCCCTATCGGGGCTTAGCTTTAGTTATATGGTTCAGGCATTACGAAATAGGGATTTGGGACTCCGGGTGATAGGGGTGCGTATTTGTTCGTCGCGACAAACTCTTGATTAATAATTCCCCCCCCCCCCTCCCTCCCCCCGGCAAGGTAGGTCAGCTGGTGGCCGGATAGATAAATTTGCCGGGTTTCGGGCTTGCCACCCGACACTCCTTTTAGGGTTTTGTAGGGCAGGGAAGGCAGGTACAGTCGACAACTGACGTCGTAACGGGGCTGAGGGTTGAGGTTAGGGCTTTAGGGTTTAGGGGCGGTTGAGGGTCGAGGGTTGAGTGTAGGGTGTCAGGGTTTAGGGTTTGAGGTTAGGATTTTTTTGAGGCTTCGATTTAGACTTCAGAGTTCCTGGGCTTAGGCCTTTTACGCTTTTCGGCCGGAACCTTAAGTCGTTTAAGGTCGGGGCTCAGGGTTGAAACCGCCCTAAACCCTCGGCCCTGAACCCTCAACAGTCAAACAAAAGCAACAACAAGACACTTTTCTGCGGCGGCCGGATTAGTACTCGGGGGGTTTGCCTTGCTTGGGCTAGGCCTTTGCAGGCTTGAAAAACTGAGTGTTTTACATAGGCCTTTGATGTAAAATTTCTTGCTTGGCCACTTCTGAAATTTCTTACCTCCAGCCCTAACCGCCAACCATGTAGAGGCTCACCCTTATGGGCGACATGCCTTGCAGAGACTGTCCAAACCTCCCCCTAAACCCTGAAGCCTAAACCCTTGACCCCAACCTGCCCCCAAAACCCTGAACCCCCTCTAAGTCTGCAGGCAAGTTGGTTTTTGGTTTTGCTTGGGCTAGAAGGTTGCCATAAATCGGGGGGTGGGGGCTGGGGGTGGGGGTTGGTAAGACATTTTTTCCAAGGGTGGGGGGGCTCTGGTGGCAGAGGCCAGCGCCTTTAAGACATGGTTTCAGCCAGGTCCGAGGCCCGCGCGGGACCCTAAACCCTAAACCCTCGGGATGCCTTTAATCACGGGGGGTTTTGGCAATCAAGAGTTGACATTAAGTTTTCGCCGAGGTTTCCCGACATCTCCGCTTACTTCGGGCGCTCCACGGCAGATGGGAAAGTCATCCAGGAGTGCTCCTGGGTGTTTGAAGGGGGGGCATAATATATATATATATATTTATTTATTTATTTATATTTGGTGGGTTTGAGGAGTTTGTGCGGTTTCGGTGTATTTTTTGACATGAGTGTTGTAGGGTGCAGAGGTCCTGGGATGTGGATTTGAGGATGTTTGGATTTTTGGGGCGATGGAAAATTTAAAAATCGCGGATTTCGGTGCCTCAACAGGCAGTTCGAACAGTGCTTTGGGAGATGTTTATACCATACTGCAGACAGTGAGGAGCCCTAAGACTTTGAATAGCAATGTTTTTTTTTTGCCAGGCCTCTTGACTGGCGTTTTGAAGTGCTGTAGGTGCTGAGGCAGTGCCCAATCTGAGAATAGCCGCCAGGATGCGACTCAACTCTGCCTCCATTTGCTGGAAGAGCGCCTTGATTTAGTGGTTAGGGTTTAGGGAGATGGAGGGGTCAGAGCCCGCCGAAGTGGATAGCTGCCTCAAAACCTAAACTCCTAAGCCTTAAACCCTAAAGCCCCAAACCCTAAACCCTGAAGCCCTAAACCCTAAGTAACCGCCTTTTGGGAAATTTTGGTCGGACGGTACCACACGAGCTCTCCAAATTAGGGTCCCGCTTCAGGGCTCCAACAATAGTATGCCACCCTTAAAAAACGGGCCCTGAAAAGGGCCTCCCTTTTCTCTGGGGGCTTGGATCATTGTACTCGCAGGATCAGGGGACTTAGTCCGCAAGGCTACAGGGCTTTATAGGTGTTCTACATGATTTCTGTCAGGGTTCTATGTTGGTTTAGGTAGTAATTAAGGTCAAACATCGGCAACTATAAGTGTAGTTACCTGGTTTGTAGCCCTAGCTACTAAGTTCCATGAACCTTTAAGTAGGGGTCAATCGTTCGTGCCCTCTTCAGGCAGATGACCGCGTCCTTGTTAAGAAGTTAAGGTGCCACAAGAGGGATCTATGGAAAGAAAATAAAAGACTTCCCGTATTATGCTGACTTCAAAGAGGTTCCCTAACAAGAACCCAGATCAGGTATCGAGTTGCGCTCGTGCCCGGCGATGCCTTCGGCGATGGGAAATGCTTGCGCTTGTCTTATGCCGCGACGGTAGAAAACATCACGGATTCCTGACTCCACAGCCAGTGCCATTGAAGGGTGTGTGCGCTGCTTACGTACCACAGAGGCATCCCCTTAGCCCCTATGTGGTTTGCAGTGCAAAAAACACCTAACATGTTTTAGGGCCCTGAACACACCCTATAATTAAACCCCGTATGGAACCCTTAAGGAAGCCTACTCTAAGCCAGAAGGCCCTTGAGTCCTTACCTGAGCAGCCGAGGATGCGATTACCAAGCTTCCTGGCTTGACCGACCTCCGGATTACAACCCGGGGGCTGCCTCAAACCCTCACAAACATCAGGGTTCAGGGTTTTGGGTTTAGGGTTTAGGGAGGGTTTAGGGATTGCAACAACGCCTCGAGCAAATAACCAGTCTTGAAATCCGCTGGTCTGCCCTAAAGCCCGGAGACGGAGCTCAGGCTGGGCAGCTGCCTCCAATCCCTGCAAAGCGCGAAGAAAGCTCGTACCAGTTGAAAGGCGGGGTTTGGGTTTAGGGGCTCTTGTTAAGGAACTTGGTTTAAGTTACTGTAGTGGGATCTACATCAAAGACTAGGGTGTCCTTATTGTGGCAACTCCGATCTTTTGGGTGCTTCTTAGAGTATCAAGGCTCTTGCTATTCAGGGTCCAGATTAGGCTGATGATTCGTTTTTGGGGTGATTATGGGAGTTTCCTTTTGGGGAATCCTGTCCGAATATGACGGACCCTGGCATTTGAGCTCCGTTTCAGTGTCCCTATTGTCTGAACACTCTCCTTTTTCCATGCGTGCCTTTCAGCGAAGACAGGTGTGCAATGGGCCTCGGACTTTGCAAGAACTGCGCTCCGGGCCTTCACGCAGAATCCTGGTTTCCAAAGTGACGAAGCCAACGCCAAGGCCTGGCGCATGCCAGATATTTTACATGGGTAGTTCTCTAAGTTAGGGTCCCTTTTAGGATCCGTTTTATAAGGGTGCCGTACTATATTGGGGACCCTACTTTAGAGAACTACCCACATAATCCCAAGGCAGGAGCTATTCGAGCGGGCGGCAAAAAGGTGTCATCTGGAGCTGTTGGATGCGCCTAGTAGCTTTCAAGTTGAGCTGAAGCGACTCGTGCTTAGGCAGGAGGGCCCTTTGAAGGAGAACCGGCTGAACATAGCAGGCTCCAAGGCCTACGTGGCACGAGCCTCGGTTCACTGCGACCACCTAAACCCTAAACCCCTGAACCCTAAGCCCTAAACCCTAATGCCCTAAACCCCTAAAGCCCCTAAACTCTAAACCCTAAACCTCCACCAAGCCTCTCCTCTCTCCGAAATTGCAGGCAACGGACGAAGCGATGGCCGCCATAAAGGACTGCAAAGATGATGGTGCCATTGCCCGGCCCCAAATAGCCAGAATAGGGCCTGCGGGTATATGTTTACAGCTGAGGAAGAAGGTGGGGAAGTGTTCTTATAGTATACTTGATACGATCAGGAACCTTAAAGAACAGTGTAAACCCCAAACCCCCTCTACCCTAAACCCTAGGCCCCTAAAACTCTGAACCCCTACACGCTAAAACTCTGAACCCCTAAACCCTACACCTTAAACCCCCAAAACCCCAACCCCCATAGGAGCCCTCATAGCTCCCTTTAAGGAACCCCTTCCACAAAAAAAAATCCTAAACCTGGCCCTAAGCCGAAAAAAAATCCGCTCGCATCGGAGCTTCGCAGCTTCTCTAGCCGAGGCCACAGCGAACTTCTCAAGAGCGGAGGTCCACACCTGGGCCTCAGGGTTGGAAGGGCTTTCGGGGTTTGGGGCTTAATTAGGGTTTAGAGTTTAATTAGGGTCTAATTAAGGTTTAGGGTTAAGGGGTTAATTAGGGTTAAGGGTTTAGGGTGTAGTTATCAAGGGTTTAGGGTTTAATTAGAGTTAAGGGTTTAGGATGTAATTGGGCTTAAGGGTTTTGGGTTTAGGGTTTAATCAGGGTTGAGGGTTCGTTTAGGGTTTAGGGCTATGAAAGGGTTTAAAAGAGTTGAGGGTTTGAAGAGTTGCTCGTTTTAGGGCCGGTTTAGGGTAGTTTAGGGTTTTAGGGCTTCGGGCCGGTTTCGGGTGTAAGGGTTTACCCTAAACTGAACCCTAAACCCCTAAGCCTTAAACCCTAAAACCTAAACCCCTAAACCCCTAAACCCCTAAACCCTAAACCCCTACACCCCTAAACCCTAAATGCCGAGAATTTTTGCTCTAGGGCGCACTTCGCATGGGCATTGAAGGTGCTTTCCCTGTTTGGGGAGACACGCGAGTCCGTTTCCGCAGGTCGTCCTCTGCTCAGCAGCATCATGTAGCAAACACATCTTCCGGTGCGTTTGTATGTATATACTAAACGCACATACATACATACATACATACATACCTACCTACCTACCTACCTCCCTGCCTGCCTGCCTGCCTACCTGCCTGCCTACCTACCTACCCTACCCTACCCTACCCTACCCTACCCTACCCTACCCTACCCTACCCCACCCCACCCCACCCCACCCCACCCTACCCTACCCTACCCTACCCTACCCTACCCTACCTACCTACCTACCTACCTACCGATCTATCTATCTACCTATCCATCCATCCATCCATCCATCCATCCGTCCATTCATCCATCCATCCATCGATCTATCTACCTTTCTCTCTCTCTCTCTGTGCATGTCGAGGTGCATCTTCCTGGTCTTAGACGACCCGGACAATTTTTTGATGGGCAAAGCTGCTTGTCCCAGCAAAGTACTGCTTGTAAACGTCTTCTTCCGCAGGCACCAGGCCTGTAATGGTGATTCCAGCTTGACGTTCATTGCTGTCCGGAGTCCAAGGTCATCTCCGCCTTTGTGGTGGCCACGATCCTGCTAAGCACAACGTCTTTCATACTAGAGCCGCCCGGGAAAGACATGGCAAGCACTTTCGGAAGCACGGTATTTTTGTTTTCTGCTGAGGTCGATGCAGTCCTTTGCGAAGCGCCCGGATCTCTGCGAGGATCTGCGGGCGGCCGGGGAGCCGCTGACGGTCGAAGCCTGCGAGCCGGCCCAGGGCCTCAGCCACGCAGCCTGCAGCAGCCTGCAGCAGCCTGCAGCTCGCTGTCGAGATGCCACGGGAGCGAGAGCTGGCGCTCGAGGTGCCACACGAAAGCTTCTTCTACATAGAAGCCGCGATTCAACTGCATTAGACTGTTAGAGTGCTGATGCAGCTACGGGACAACGCTCCCCAGTCCCGTCTTACCACAGGCATGCATACTTATCTTCACTGTCGAATACCTTGTGGTGGCCTCAGAGTTTCCGACGCGAGGGAACAGCCCGTCGCTGATGAAGGCCAGAACTTGGCCTGGGGTTGGCCTGTGCTGCATGCTGGTTCAGTTTGTTTCGGTAGCTTGCTCCTTCACCGCGCTGCATCGTCTGCTTGCAAAGCGGTGGAATTGCCGCAGCATGACTGATCACGACTCGTCCGAGGCTCGCCTGCTCACTTGTCATGCGGAGCCTGCGCTCGGTGAGACTCCTACCCTCCGGGTGCTGCACTACGCACGGTCGAGGGCTAAGACTGTCTTGGTTTCCATCTGATGTGTCGTGGGTCCACATGAAGCCAGCAAACTTCTCAAGAGGCAGTTCTTACTGATTGGACAGTTACATGAGGGAAGCCGACAACTTAGAGGAAGGTAACCATTGGAGCAGCCAAAGTCGCGCTCAGGATGCCTTTGAACATTGTGGACTTGTTAGTGGCTTGTCTTGAAGAAGCATGCCTGCTTGCATCCTGTAGAGGGGAGTCGCGCCGGGTCTTCTTTCCCGGGATCCGAGGCAGTGGCACCATTCTATTTGGGATTCATCATTGGAAATTCCGTGAGCTCGCTACGAGTGCTTCGGTTGGCCCGGGTGGCCACCTCAGCTTGCTGCCTGCGATCCTTCGCACAGTTACAGCATTCATCTTCCACACACACATAGCAAGGTGCTCAGGCTCTTCAAGCTCGCCAAGCACCATGGAGGCATCGGCGCGACTCTACAAAGCCATTTCTTCCGGGTCAGCCGAAAACCTCAGCGAAATGTTCACAGGCATGAGGCTTTGCTTGGAAGCAATGATGAGAAGCGGTTTTCCTTTGGCGATCCTTATGCTCGGCTCTCAAGCATGCAGTCGTGACATGTGGCAGTTCTGTAAAGGCGCACACACATCCAGAGTCTGTGGGACAGGTTCTTCAACGTGATTGTGGGCATCATTTTCGCCTGCGTGTCCTGGCCGGCTGTGTTGTTGAGCTCCGAATACATCGCGGTCTACGAAGCCGAGAAGCATCGCTTCCATGGTGTTAAGGTCATGTTCTTCGTTGAGGGGCAACGGTTCTCGGTGGCGGTCTTGGCCTGCATTCCCTGCTGGTCACTTGCGGTTCGGATGTCAACACTCAGGTCGCCCCACAATTCACACAGCCCAGGACAGATATGTTCAACAACACTGCATCTTGGGCTGGACTGAGTGTTTCATTTCCATGCTGGGCAAGCATGGCATTCTTCCGGCCGCATCGAGCCGGGTTGCAGTGGCTTCAAGAAACACAGCATCACGAAGATCTTAGTGCTAAGCTAAGTGGGTTGTCTGTTTTGCTTTCCAGGAACTTGAGATGGGAGCTTAGGTGCCTACCCAATTGCATAGTCACAGTCTTCTTTCCACACAGCAGATTTCAGTTGATGCCTGCCTGGTACAGTTACATAAATTGGCATGTGCTCAAGGTGCCCGCGCCATTTCCCACCGGGGTCTTCGTGCGCATCGATGCACAGGACTGCTCAGAGCTTCACTGGGGTCTGGTTTGTCAGTGCCGTTTCCTGCATTGGCAGGGCGAGCATGAAGTTCAGACGCCTTTTCGCTCGATACCGATAGCTCTTTGGTGGGCTTTCTCGACAATGACCACTGTGGGTGGCACGGACGCAAGATCCAAGCAAGAGCGAGCTGATCACTCTATGTCCACGTCTTTGTCTCTGTACTCTGCCGCTCTTCTGCAGGCTACGGCGACATTGTTCCCACGACACTCCCAGGCTGCGAGTGAACTGGATACATGTGCTCCATAAGTCGCTAGCCATTCGAGGTTTCAGGAAGAGCTGTGGCTGTCTCGTTTGCCCTGTCCCTGCTTGTCAGGAAAAATTGTGGGTGTTATGTGCTTCTATTGTGGAGTCACTGAGCAGCACTTGAGTCAGCAGTACCGTTCATGAGGCTGCCCCCTTCACAGTAGGCAGGCCCAGGCTTCTGTGGGATCCCTCAAGTGTTCGAGGTGATCCTCCTGGCGCTGCCCATCGGAGTCTTGAGCTGATACCTCAGACTGCCGCGCTGAGCAGCGGAGCCTAAGCAGCCAAGTGGCCCAAGGTTCGAACTTCGAGAATGCTTACTCACAGGCATCGTCTCATTCGCAAGGCCGAAGGCTCCCCGACATTGACTTGGAGCGTTGCCCTGAACCCATTGTCTTGGGTGGCCTTCCATGCAAAATCCGCTAAGGCTGTCTTTTAATGAGCACCTTCGGAATAGCACCACGAGATCCACAAAGTCTCCGGCCCAGACAATCCGAGACAGCGCTTGTGAAGCCAGTTTGCTTCCAGGACTTGTCAGGTTTGTAGCTGTAGCCACTTGTGTGTCGCATGACTGATCTGTGGCGTGTCAAGAGGATTTGCGCAGAAAGCAGTCTGAGGTTGGAATCACATGAACCTTGTCTCAAATCATGAGTTCTGGTCTCCTCCTAGCTTGCAGGAGAAGATCAAGAAGAAGTTTCCCACATGGTGGTTAACTACCTCTCATGTCTCGGTACCAGCCATTTCGAGCGCAAAAACTGCCGTGCGCGCCGCAGATCCGAAGGTCAACGCGTCCGTCGAAATGCAGCATCTCAGGTTCAACAGATGCAACCAGCTCGGGGTTCGCGCTGGTTTCCGGAAGAAGAAGTTTCATGGAGTCGGCAGTGGCCCAGCACAAAAGAGAGGATTATCCAAGCAGACATGCGCCATCTCGAGGTCAACTTGCTGTCAGATTTGCATCCCACGGCCAAGGCTATTCCTTATCATGAGCGATCCCGGATCAAGCCGTGCATCCAACGTGGCCTCCCGGTGGAAGTGTTGCTGGTTGGTTCTTGCGGGTTGTCAAGGCTAAAGTTGGTTGGCAATGAGTTTGATGCTGCTGTACAGACTTGGGCTGCAATGTGCTGCAAGGTGTCCTGGTTCGTTACGGCAGTGATCATGGTCGCCACGGCTGCTCGGCACGTGTCGCAAAGTGTCCTTACACGACGACCTCCCCCTGTGGATATGTCGGCGAACTTCCTGGCTCCAGAGGTGTCCATGTTGCTCGAGTCCCTGCCCGAATTCAATGTTACCCCGGCCGAGTGCAAGCCCTGGCCAGAGCGGCTTTGAATGACATTTTGGATTTGGACTCTATTAGTAGATCTTGGCAACGGTATTTGTAGCTCTCTTTTGGTTTGCTCAATGCTTCAGATCTGCCTGCTGTGGCCGCACGCGCTGATGATGGATTGGTAGACAGGTGGTGTCAGCCAAGGATAACCATCGCAAGCTGCCGTCCCGTTCCTCGTCACTTGCCTCACATCAGAGTTGCAGTTCAGTTCTTGTGCCACGTTGGAACACGAATCGTGGATGCACAGTTGGCATTCATGCGACTGATTGGCTTTGGGGAAATGAATGGAAAGCCGACCGGCAGGCCCTGCGTTTGAGTACGTGGAGCTCGTTTGCATGATCGTCTTCACCATAGACTATGTGCCTCGTTTGAGTGCAGATGCTTCGGTCAAGGGAAGACTTCCACTGAAGTGAATGATTTGGCGGTCAACACGGTCGAGAGACATCCTGATTTCCCCTGCACTTGTGTCTGATTCTACCTAGAGCTTAGAGGCTTAGAGCATGCCTACAAGAACGGTGCTGAAAGAACACTGGATGGAGATGTTTCAATGATCATAAGTTGCGCTCTTAGAATGGCAGTCCCAAAGCTCCCTGCCTCAGGTGCTGCGACTTGCATTGGCGGCTCCCTTAGTTGCCCCGTAAGGAAAGCAGCCGCTGTCTTCACTGTTCATCTTCACTCGGTGAGACGTGTGCAGCTTGTCCTGGACTTCGGCTCAGGTGCATCGTGCATTACCCCAAGACATCGGGCTGGTGGAGAAAGAAGCTCTGGCGCCCAGAACACGGACTACGAAGCCATGTGTCAAGTGCAAAGATATGAGACGGGACTTGCAACAAGTGCTGTCGAGCGCGGCTCTAAGGTGGGTCGATTAAAGATGACTTGGAAGTATGCCTCCTGTCAGCATACATGCAGGCAAGCGCATGCAAGGAGCAAGTGAGCGACCAGTGTGTGCTCAAGAACGCTGCCAAGTTGCCTGACAGTTGACCATGCTTGATGGGCCGGTGATCCCTCGGAACCCAAGGCAATACAAGTGCTGAACCTGGTAGACTTTTTCGCCATTGCGCCGTACTACATCTCTCTCAGTTCCTTGGCGAAGGGAACTTTTGACACGCCCCTGCCTTCGAGTTCTTGTGTTTCCTTCTTTCGTTTGCCACCAGCCGATCAGAAAGAATGCCGCCAGTCCTGTGATCTGTCCAAGGCGGCTTGTATCAGGGAAGCACCGCCGCACTTCGAGTGCTGCGACTGGTGAGGGTGCTGCTTGTCTGGAAGATACTATGCGGATGCTAGCATCCGCTGCCGAGGGAGATGGGTTGAATTGACAAGTTGACTGCAGCTTAATCCCACAGCGGCTTGGCCATGAAGATCCTCATGCAAGAAGATCATCGGGTCTTGCAAGAAGTTCGTGCTGTACAGCAAGAGCCGCCTCGAGCATGTAGAAAATGGAGAGCAGGAAGGTGGTTGGGAAGTGCTGCTCTCAGGTTTCGCTTACTGAAATCCCCAAAGCTGCGAGACGGTCGCTCCCCCAGTGGTGAGTGTGTCCCGCGACTTGAGCTTGGAAGCATCGACGGTGGCGAAGGCGTGGAAATGATCATCAACATCGTCGGGCCCGGTTGCACGAGATTGTTCTGCTTGAGTTTACATGTCAGATTCCAGCTGCACTTTTCTGGTGAAGTCCCGTCACCCTGAAGGGACTCGTTGCCTGGAATTCTGTCCGTGTTCTCCTTGACGAGCATTGTATGCATTCTCTTTTCCTCCAGCCTCTGGATCGCCGAGGGGACGTCCCTTGGCTGCATCCTCTGCGAAGCATCCGGCGTTCAAGCTTTCCGGGCACTGCCAGGGAGTATTCTGTCAGCGCCTTCCCCAATGAGTACCCGCTTGGGGTCTACATCAGGCCGACGACCCTGGATGGCAAAAGGTCACAGCCTGTCCATGCAATATGTAGCAACGCCTGGAACTCTTCGCAAGAGCAATTCTCAGATCCCGCACTCCAAACAAGCTTTGTGTGCATGCCTGGAGTGTTAGCAGCTCCCGAGACAGTGGCCGGAAGAGTGACGACCAAGGAAATATGGATATGGCTTCTTGACCTGAACCGGAGAAGTGGTGATTGAGCCAGGGGTTGAGCGCCAAGCTGACCAAACACATTTCGCAAAGTCACGCCGTTGCTTGCGGACGGGGCAGCCTGAAGAACCTGACGCATACACTAGTCGCAGGGTGATGCGACGAGGCAGGAGGCGAGAGAACGCAGGGCGTTTGAGTACGTAAAGATTCAGGTTGTTGCAGGCGTACTTCTGTTTTACACCTAGTCGAAGTCCTGAGTTGTTGTTCAAGCTTCGACATCAAGCAGACTACATAGATTTACAGCTTGGTAGCATGAGTGCAGTGGCCCCCCCCCCCCACCCACACACACACACACACACACACACGCGCGAGTTCTGCATCCCAGGTGTGGAGCCAACCCCGTTCACTTCAATCTCCCATTGCTTCTGGTGGTTCTTTGTTACTGCCACCCGGCCGCTGGTACTCTTTCAAAGTTGTGTTTCTCGCCTGACCGGCGCATATGGCCAAGGCTACAACTGTTGGTTACGGTGGCTCGGTAGAAAAGACTGTGACCGAAGACTGGCACTTGTGTTGATGCAGTTTATCGCAACTTTAAGGAGACGAATATCCTACGACGACATTAGGAAGGCTCACGGCGATTGGATCCTTTTATGCGCCATCCCCGGCTACCTTGTCTGGCTGCAGTGAACTGGAGAGAGTGCGACTGCGATAGGGGTGACTGTTAATCTTTGCATGCTCAGGCAGGAATTGTGTTGGTGGCAATCAAGCTCACAATTGTCGGTGCAGCCCTTGGTTTCGGAAGCACATGTCTTTTTAGCATGCTTCGTGTTGCTTCACGTCGCCTTGCCCTACCTTGTTTGAGGCCGTGCCTTGAAAAGGCAGTTTCCACAGTGGAATGGACAGGCCAGTTCGGGCTGGTGCGTGCTCTGCAGCCTGGTCTGTCGGCGGTCTCCATGCTGACCTGTGTGGCCGGGATAGAGAGTGGTGAAAAAAAGCATGACCCCTAGTAGACCCACATGTGGTCTGTCGTTCAGAAGTGAGCAGACCGGCCCCAAGCCAAAGGCAGTTTGCACACTCTCATCCTCGATCCCAGTATAGACATCAGCATGCACAGGCCGCATGAAAGAGGCAGTGCCTTGGCAGAATGATGCTGTCACTGGAGAAACAGTTGCAGGCATGTTCGACATGTTGTGTGGCTTCCAGAGGTTTAGGAACGCAGATCCAAATTGATCCAAAGGTTTGCTGGACCCTCCCCATTGCTGTCCAAGGACTGTATGGTATGCATTTTAAAAATGCGGTGTGAAGTCACTCTAGCAGTTGGAATTCGATGCTCGGGAATCCCGCAGCATCCAACCGGTGCACATATGTAAAGCGGCTCAGTCTGCACCTTGGGCCTTGCGGCCTCTGGCGCTTTCGGATATGATGTCCAAAAAAAAGTTGCGCGGGATTCGGTTATCTTTTCGGTCCATGCTCGGCCTAAGGCCCTGCTGTTTCAACTCACTGCGTAAAGGATTTGACGTCAGCCGAGCGCGGTGAAAGAGATGTTCTGTCTTCCTGTGTTGCTCAAGCTTTCAGGCTCACAGGGCTCGGCTGAAGGCTTGCTGATCAAACTGGAACTTTGGCAAGTCAGGCCTTGGGTCGCAGCGCTGAGCAGGAGGCCTGGCAGCGCACTCGTTGTGCTCAGGCTTTCAGGAAATCATCGGCATTCCAAAGCATCTTATCCTCCGATATCCTGCGGCCAGCGCTCAAGGGCCACTGCTTCAGGACGGACTTCCTGGACGAGTAGTGGCGCAGCACCCGCAGCCTGGCCGTGCCGCCAGTTAGCCCAAGCTGCATGCCGTGCAACTTAGTAAACCCATGACTGCCGAGTTCGGGCCAGCCCTCGTGGTAAGTCGCCAACGGCGATGGCTGCCGAAAGGAGGCGTCGGATTCAAATATGAAGTTGAGAAGCGGAGCAGCCATCCGGAGGGAACTCGCAGTCATGGGCGGCTTAAACCTTTGCCGAAGCTACTAAGACTTTACTAAGATGTGCCCAGGCGCCGCAAAGCCGCCGAGCGTGCAGGCAGCAGCCACTTCAGAGTCTATGGCAAAGCCTGACTCTACCAGTAGGGCAACCATTCTGGGGACAGCCCGGCTTCTTTCTTTGACAATCCGTAGGCTTACTGGATGAGGAGGAGGAGTCTGCCTCTTATGCCTGTGGATTTGATGAAGTTCTCTTGGTCTGGCAGCGTCCGTTTTTGTGCTCGTGGCTTGGCAGACTTGCTGGCCGAGGTGGGTCTGACCCAGAGCTTCTGGCCCGGTGGCTCAGCTTGGGCTTGAGGGTGGGACGTTGGTAGACACATGCTGGCAGCTCGCAGGTCTCGAAGCGACGAGATGCCAGCAAAGGGGCCGTTAGGTCTTTGCGCACTTTGTGAAATACCGCGCCATGGTTCCTCAGGCAAAGCAGGGAGAAGTCAAGCACTGGCGGCATCTGCCCTTCTCTAAGTCTAAGATGCTCATCGAGCGGTGGTACTTCACGGTTTAAACGAAGTTTCTGAGCCCTGGAAGATCGGAGCTTTTAACCTGGCAGCTGAACAGCTGACCTTCTGATTTTTCCAGGGTGCTTGCTCTCCAGGTGTACAGCGGAGCGAGAGCAAGATAGCTTGAAGTTGGATGAGTGGGCTTCCTACATCCATAACTTGGCACCCCCCAATTCGATGTCAGGTTGCGGAAGCCTACTTGTCTGAAACACCGTACCTTAGCTCAGTCAAGTCTGGCCGCCACGTTTGCAGAGCTGTGCCTTTCCGTATTTCTGCAACACAATTCCCAGCCGGGTATGGGGAGTTGATAAACATGTCGTGAACATTAAATAATAGGGGTCCTCCTCCCAGCACAATCCGGCATGATTTGGATGAGGTCTGAACGCATAGGTCATATGCCCATAGGCTGTGTAACCGGCCGTTTTCCACAATACAGCTTTTTCGTACCATGTGGCAGCCAGCTGGAGCATCAGCATCGCTTTTTCATTATGCGCGATCAAATACGTGAAGTGCAAGGCCGTTGCTGTTTTCGTCTTGCCAGTATGTACATATGCATTTACAGTTTGTGCAAGAATCAGAGCCCTGAACCCTGCATCTGCACCTGCACTTTGCTCAAGGATTCATGCCAACTCTCCTTGGGGTGCTGCCATGGCTGACTCAGATGATGATTATGATGCTCGGAAACTGTCCTTCATCTGTGACGAAGAGGATGAGGCCCGTACACAGCTTTGCCTCCCAAACGCCTGTGGTCGGTTTAATGGCATGCCGACAGAGCCATGGGACCATCACCGCGAACGTTTGGTTTTGCCTTACGAAAAGCATGTTCGCGGCTGCACGCGCTCAAAAAAAACGTCTCATGAGGGAGTCGAGCCTCCCTCATGCCCAGGAGAAATAGAGAGAAGTTTCACACGAACGGGTCGGGGAGACTCCGGTGGGCAAGCACGCGCCAAGGGCGAGCGTGTGCGCCAAGGGCGAGCGTGCGCACCCGGGTGCATGACGACCCTGCAGGAGCCCGCGTCCAGGGGCAGGCAACAAACCTGCAATAGAGTGTCACAGATTGTCGGCAGCAAGCAAGCGAGAGTCGAGAGTGAGAGAGAGGTTTGCCTTTGTCCGGTCACCTCGATCTTATAATACACCTTCTCATGCCCCTTGCTGCAGATGCCACCTGCCACTGAGGGGCTAAGGCGGTCTTGTCTCGTAAGGCAGGCACGACTGTGCAAATCCGTGCTGTAGCAAGCCGGAGACGGAGACAGACAGAGGCGACAGACGGCCAGAGAATTGGCTGGACCAAACTGGGGACAGAGCAAGACGGACGCAGACAGACAGTGACACCACGATAGACGAAAGCAAAGAGGCAGAAGGGCAGACCGACAGAAGGATACACGCAGGTAGAGAGACAGACATAGACGGCAACATCAAAGGCAGGAGCAGTCAATTAGACGCAGACTTGAACCACTGCAGGATCTGCTGAGTTCAGCTACAGAAGGCGCCGAGAGCCTCTTGTCAGCACGGGAGTCCTCACAAATCTGCAAGTGTTTTCCGAGACGATGCGAGCGAAGGTGATGGGGATTACCACTACGACGGTGGGGAGCTGCATGCGATAGACAGACTGAAGAGGCTGCGCTTCGTGACGTCGGTGTTGCTGCGCAGCCTCATGCCTCTTGCTCATGTTGACGTGCACCATTTTCTCGCTTGCAAGAGAACTTGTGGTGCGAGGTTTTGGGATCAGCGAAGATACAAGACCTCAACCATGTTGCTTATCGTGTTCGGTCCTGAGTGGGTTGCTTTTGCTTTGCCAGCTCTTGCATCAACCCTTTGCCTTTTCGTATCAAATCCGGGCTCAATCGCAAGGATCTTCTCTCTCGTGAAGGCCTTGGAATACCTGATGAGAGAAAATTATAAGTCTGATCTTCGGCGAGGAGTGGGACCTTCGGCTGGACTTTTGAATTTGTCGGTGCCCGTCTTCGCTTTATATAGAAGGCTTACTCATGTTACATGCGCGTGGCACCGCGACGTTTACAGGCTTTGAGTGAACGAGGTCGGCGATGCCAAACTGCAGATACCGGGTTGCAGACAGCCCGCAACAGAGAAGCAGCAGCAACTATCTTCTTTCCACCCTGTAAAGAGCAACCCAGCGTGTTTGGATCACTGTCAAAGTCCTGCGGTGGGACGATTGAGTCCACCTCCCTCCCTCGGTGGTCAACTGCATGGTTCGTCCCGCCTCGCCTTCCTCGTAGATTTCAGGGCACTGGTAGGGCTTGACAGAAGCGAGCTTTGGGTGATGCTTCATCGGCCTGTGCTACCGCTCCTCCTTGTCCCACACCAGCTTTTCTCGCAAGTGCGCATCTGGAGTTTGTCCTCCCTCGTCCCGGCATGATCTTTAGCATGGCCCCTTGCGGCCCCACCGTGTTATCCGGAGCGAAAAGGGCAAAGGTTGCTATAGGGGCTCGGAGCAACATCTTTGTGCTCTTCAGATCCAGGTGTAGGGAAACTGTTGAACTGGTAGCAGCGCGCTTGTGGAGGGTCAGTTTTCGGTTGCTTTGTTCGTTCGCTGCTAGACTTGGTTAACAGCACGATATGTCGTAACTGTTGTGGTGTCTTCGCAACGCGTTGCTATTGCCTGTTTGTCCTGCTCCTGGACGGTGAAACTGTTCTTTGCAGCTGCAGGTAAAGCAGCAAGTGTGAATCTCCTGGGGTTGTGTCGCATTGTCGCCCATGTTTGCGGCGACAACACATCCACGATGAATGCTGACTTGCGCTGCTGTTGCTGCGGCCTCCCTTTTCGTCGCGACGACTACTCCGACCAGCATTAGGAGTGTCATTGCTGCTAGTGTAGTCGATGCGAGAGACCCCTTTCTTACCCGACCAGCCTCGTTGCCTACATGTATCTTCATCCGATTGCCAGGGTTGTTGCTGCCATCGTGGGCTACTGTCAAGGTCAGACTATCGTTGTATGTGTGATGGTGGTGCCTTCGTTGTTTTCGGCTGTTATGTGCTGGTAGGCATATTTCATCCTGTTTCATGGCTGTTTGGGCTAAGGACGTGCAAGTGTCTGCAGCGTCCAATTCTTCGTGTCTTGGCTCGCAGGGGTGCCTCTGCACAGTTCCGGACCAACTACCTGCGTGAAATGGACCAGGCGCAGGTTCTCAGCCTGCTTGCCTCCGTGGTGATATCGTTCCACCAAGAAGGAAGCTGGCGCTTCATGCGCCGCGTTCTGTGGAGCACCAGACTCTTGGCTCGTGGCATCTCTTGGCTCTCGTAAGTCACGCCTGCAAAGATATCGCGGTATGAGCCTGCTGAGGGTTTCGGGTGGTTTCAGATGTTTCGGTCGGTGAGCGGAGCATCTGGGCTTTGCCTAGTTGATTTCGTTTCTTCTTGAGGGCTGGCTAGCTGACCATCACTCATGTGTTGTCTATTTTCTAAGGTTTGCCAGCCATCTTTACGCTTGGTAGTTTTGCGTCGATTGCGCCTCTGTGGGTGATGCTATGGCTGCTGTGGTAGGAACAGGCCCGAGTCCATGCGGCATTTACCTCCGCAGAACACCATGGGATTCCACATGACGACCCACTCATTGCATGCTGAGGAATATTGCACTTCGGACTGC